ACCACTAAAACAGTATTGAAGATAATATAATCAACAGACGACTTCTTCTTTGGTTAATACTCAAGTTTACATGGCATGTATGGGAGACAACTGTTGACTTTTCCCTAATTGCATGCCTACCTAGCTAGCTCGCTACGTTTTCTTGAGTTAGTTATTAATTAGTTATTTCCATTGATTGCAATAATTGCGCGCGGCCCATTATGAAGTAGATCACAACTTTAGAAATCGGGTCTTTTGGTTGCCATCGATCACCGGAAAGGAAAGAAGACAAGTATTTTGTACAATTTTGTAGGGGTGGGAAACGTAACTGCAACCGCAAAATACTTATATTAGCCAACCGCGACCGCGTCCCTCACGGTTAGCGGTTAACCAAAAATCGCAGAACGCGGTTAGCGGTGAACCGCGGTTAGCGGTGAACCGCGGTTTATGGTTGTAAAAACCGCAACAATCGAAACAGTATACAAAACCGCGGTTAAGCAATCTAACCGATAATTAACCGCGAACTAACCGCAAAGTCTCACGGCAGGCGGGGCAGAACAGCGTCGCAACCTTGAGGAAGCCGGGGACGCGTGACGCCGGACAGCAAGGGACGGCGGCGGGCGGATGGCAATTGGCAGCGGCGCAGCGCCGCAAGGGGAAGATGGGAAGGCTGAGTAGCGAAGGATTTTCAGTTGCTGGTGGGAAGGGACGAAACGAAGGGTCGAAGGGGATTTTTTATTTTTGTTTCGTCAAATCAAAACGACGGCAGGAAGAAGTGAGGGAGGGGCCGGGTTGGGTTTGGGTTGCTGCCTGCTGGGCTGGAGGTCAACTTTGGGCTGGGCTGGGGGTCAACTATGGGCTGGATCTGGGTCGCGGTTAGCCTTGCGGTTATATGGATTTGTGGTTTCGTTTGCGGTTAAACCGCAAACCACAAAACAACCCATATCTCCAACCGCGACCGCAAAGTAGGCCAAATATGCGGTTTGCGGTTAACCAATAACCCCGCGGTTTCGGTGTGGTTATCGGTTTAACCGCGAAACCGCAACCATCTTCCCAACCCTACAATTTTGAAGCTTGGAAATCTCCAGTATATAATTTTCCACTAGTTTTTCTGACTCGTCATCTGCAGGTGGATTTAGAAAAGGTTAGAGCACTGGGCCGCATTTAAAAAGCGATGGAGAGGGCTGAGCTGTAACTCAATAAATTGAAAATTTACAAGTACTATACGAGTTTTGGATCCGGGGAGGACTGGGTCGTGGCCCGGGGGCGGCCCCCTAGATCCGCCGCTACTCGTGATTCGCCGATATAAAAAAATTATTAATTTAGTTGAATTCAAATAATTAACAAAATTATACAGATAAGATATCTATATAAGGTTCACGTAGTGTCTTAATCATTACAAATAACATACGTTATCTATTTGTTTAAGTTATACAAAATAATTATCCCTACATAAGGATTACATAATGTTTGATCATTATGGAAGACTTTTTTTTTTTAATTGTTACATACAAATTGATTATATGTTCCTAATATTTACGTAGTGTCTTAATCATTAAAGAAAACAATCCCGCTATAAATTTTAGTTTATGTTGAGTCTATAAATTTTATGAATGAATTTACAATTTATGTAGGTGTTATAGAACATTATTTATGTAACTACTATAGAATTTTATTACATAAATCATTCATAATATGTGATCTAATAATAGAAAGTAAAATATGATTAAACTGTTACGCCAAAGTCAACTAACCTTGTAAAACCTTTCCATAATGAGAATAGATGACATGTTAAATATTTTTATTAACGATAATGGAATTTTGGTTAGTAATAAAGAAATAATTTAATATGATTCCTATTATTTAGGAGAAAAGGATTTACCATAGAACTGGTTGTACCGTACCATAAATTGGTTGTTACCACGAAAAGAGAAAATACCCTATTGTTTTCCTAATGAAGAATGAAAAGTGCTTGTACTTTTAATTATATGGTCTAATAATATAAAATTAAATTTTAGAAAGTAACATATGATTAAACTGTTATGTCAAAGATGTTTAATTTTAGAAAGTAACTGGTTATGTCGTACCATTGAATTGGTTGTTACCGTGGAAATAGAAAATAGTTTATTTTTTCTCAATGAGCAGTGAAAAGTGCTTATACTTTTAATTATATAATAATATAATATTTTTATAATAATAAAATCAAATTTTAGAAAGTAATATATGATTAAGCTAGTATGTCAAAGTCAAAATCTTGCGGAATCTTTGAATAATGCATGATGACATGTTAAATATTTTAATTAACACTAATAGAACTTTGGTTAATAATAAAGGAATAATTTAATATTGTTTCTATGATTTTGGAGAAAAAAGTCTTACTGTATAATTGGTTGAGAGAGAACATAGTCTATTTTGAACAGTACCGTTGAGAGAGAACATAGTCTATTTTTTCTTAATGAACATTAGAAAGTACTTGTGCTTTTAATTATGTGATAATAATAATAATAATAATAATAATAATAATAATAATAATAACAAGTTGCGTGTATCGATATGACTGGTCTTCACCGTTGAATCAAACTGAGATGACTGGTTTTGTGTCGGGACCTTGTTGCCGATGCTGCTCAGCGAAAGCGTGACAAGTATTAGGACTTGTGTAGTTCGGCTGGTTATGGTTTCCTGCCCTTTTCTTTTTCTTCGCTGGGAGAGTTGGATACGAACGTTGTGGCTTGGCTGAATCGGATCCAAAAATTCTCCGTGTCTTAGGATAAGGGGGCTCGGGCAGCCACGTACATTTTTACTAGAGTTAGTGTAACATCCCAGACCTTTTCCGATGAAGATATTGTCCGATTTGGGCCTTGACCCTCACGATTTTTCAACTTGGGGTGCAATTCAAGGTGACTTTTCCTCCTCTAACAAATACATCATTAAAAGAAATTGTAAAAATATCCTTAAATTACAAATATTTAAAAAAATTCTTAAAAAAATAATTACTGAAATTAAAATTCAAAAATAGCCGAACGAGGAAATAAATCGGTGCAGCCACGATCCAAACAAGAGTTGGTTGCGATTTGACCGTGGGCCAAACGAAGATTGATATTCGTTTGACCCACAGTCAAAACGATGTCAACACTTGTTTGGACCGTGGCTGCACCGAAATTCATGTCAGCTTGCCAACTCTTCGCCCAAATCGCCTCTTCTCCAAGTAATCATTTGATTTTCCTTATCTATGGGCATTGTCAAATTAAGCTTGGAATTGATACCCAAATACAGAAGCTTCCCGCTGCTGCATCATCTCCATCTTCACCTTTTCAACTCTGTCGTTCTTTGCCGGGGGAGGGAGTTCGCCGGCGGGACTAGAGCTAGGAGCAGAGCAAGGAGGCGGTTGGGAGCAGAGCAAAGGTGGCGGTTGGGTTTGTTTCTTTCCAGGCGAAGGAGAGAGGAGGGGGTATATTTGAGGGGTGCGTTTGATTGTGTTATGATTTGAAATTTGAAATTTGAAATTAAAAAATATGTAAATAACATTATAAATTTAGAACGATGAAAAGTAAATTTAGAACGACATTTAACATTTCAAATTAAATAATAGAGAGCATATAGAACACAATAACCTGACAAGTGACAACGAAGAGATTCATGCATGTTATGTTAAGGTGGGACCTTGGGAAGGAAGTTGCAAACTTGCAACATGACCTTCGATAGCTTGTCTTTAATATTAGTCCCAGGGCTTCTGTCTGCGAGGGGCGGTCAAACAGTCAGAAGTGGTAAAATGATGTCGGTAGAAGAGGGTAAAAACTATGTTGTACAAGTACAACCAAAAGAAGCAAAAGTAAAAAAAAGAAAAAGGAAGGTGTAGATTCCAAATCATAACCACCTCCACCTGATTGCCTTTGGCTCCCACTCGTGCAGCCGACCAAGCGTCCACACATATTAACAAAACACTGTCAGTACACCTGAAGGAATAGCTCGTTTTTTTAGGTGTTCTGCCTGCTCTATTGTAAATAAAGTGACCGACATCTCAGAAACCACATGCCCTCCGACTCTACGAGCTCGTTAGATCATACATCTAAGCAACTTTAAGCACGCTAACAAAATTGCCTATTAAGAACATTCCCTCGTTGTCAAGGATAATGGGACTTCACTGCAACAATGCAAAACTAAAACCAACAACTAGAAATGTGGAGCGATTTGGTTCGTATCGGATGACATCAGATCAAATTAATTAACGGTTGAATCAGATCATACTGACCGAATATAATGTGCTTTGGTTTATGGTCTCATGTTATAAATACCGAAGATACATGTGACAAATTCACATTTGGACATGACCACAATTGAACCGAATGCACTGTTAGTCTGGTCCTGTATCCTAGAATATTTTTTATTATTAGATTGCGGCTCTCATGACTTTGGTCCAGTCATGGTCATTGCACACACCCTACTAGGGGTGAGCATTGGGTGGTTGAACCCGCAAATCCACTCGAAATCGACCCACTCATTATCATGTGGCCATGTGGGTGGTTCCTATGGGTGGGTGTGAGTAAAATAGATGACCCACAAACGATTGGGTGGGTGGGGTGGATTGTGGTTGAACCACGACCCACCCAACGTTTTAATCTCAAACCATCGAAGCTCTAACATATAACTTTACCGAAAATGAAACCTTAAAATCACAATAATTTCTCTCAATTTTGATCAAAGGATTGTGTTCGTGAGGTGTGCTTAGGCAATTAGAGTTACACTTAAGCATAACTAGTAGACAAATGGAAGAAAAAGACAATTGTTTTCTCCAACATGACACCATCTCAAAATACCACTAGTTCGTCATTCATTCCATCCATCAATTTGGAATTATAATTTGCACGCTCGGATCGTCTAGGCGAATGAGGCACTAGGCAAGATCAAAACATTGTCTTTATGCCTACGTATCTTCTTCATCCTTGGTTATTATCAGACTTAGTGTCTTAGACCATGTTTATCAGTTGTATATTTTATAATTTGTGAATAATTACTAATACCAATATTGTAATATAAATTATTGATATGATTTAATCCTATTATTTAGTTTGAAAATTCTTTCATTTTAAGTTTACAACTATTTAAATTATATAATCGTATAGAATATATTTTGTAAACCCACCAAATCCACCCAACCACTCATCATCAACAATCACTCAACCCAACCCACATGTAATACGTGGGTAGATGTACGTCATTTTCTTCTTCACCCACCACGAAGTGGGTGATTCCAAATCCATCCAAATTCGTTGATGAATCCAAACCCATCCAAATCCACATCCACATAAAACCACTCACCGCTCACCCCAACCACAACCACCTCGTCCATACTCCATACACATACGATGTAATGGCCGATAGACTACATCCCCGAAGGCGTCCATTCCCCCTCCAAATATCCCAGGTCCAGGTCCTGGTCTTGCTCGTGGTCCGACCTCTTTAGAAGCCCATATTGCAAATGCTACTAAAAGCCCAAATTGTAAGTTATCTACGCCCGCTCAGATCCAATGTTTTCAACTGTCGCCTCCACCTCCAACTCCAAGCATTCCCATCATGTCCTTCATGTCCTTCCCGCCGCCCATTTGCTTCATCAGACTTTGCAGGCCACCCATGCCGCCAATCTGCTTCAGCATCTGGGGAGGGAGAACTTTGCTCATGTGCTGCGCATTCATGTTCCTCGACAATGCGCTCATCTCCCCCTTCTTCGGGATCTTCAGCCCTTTCATTTTGCTCCAAACCTTGGCAAGTCGTTTGTACTCGTCCAACATCTCCATAACGTCTCTAACGGGACGCCCAGACCCTCTTGCTATCCTCATCACCCGCGACTCGTTCATCAGCTTTGGATTTGTGCTGTCCAGCTCTGTCATTAATTCATGGCATTACGAACCCAATATCAGGATGATGAGGACACAAATCTTCGAAAAAGAAAAAACAGGAAACGCCACTTGCCTTCATTTGTCATAGAGTCCATCATGGTCATATACCGCTTGATCTTTGCCTGACTTTCCTTCTCACGACCTTTTGGCATTAATTCAGAGCTAAACCCTGGAAGCATTGAAAATACCTAAAGAATACAGCATGTTAAACATCAAAGCAATCACTAGCAGCATTTTGAAAAGATTCTGAAACAACATAGAAAAGAAGGAAAATAACCTGGCCAATTGGACCCATTTTGAGAAGGTTCTGAAATTGTTCATACATAATCCTTAAAGTAAAGGTCCCTTCTGAGAGCATCTGCAGGAGTTCGGGCTGTTGATCCATGGGAACAACCTCTTGTATCTTATCCATGAATCCAGATAAGTCACCCATGCCTAATAGGAATAAGCTATATACTATAAGGTAAAGTGTTCATAACAATATGCATTTCAATAACCGAGCTCAGTAGGTAAAAAGAAGAATACACGAAGTGGCAACTCGAGAGAGAGTCGTGAATACCTAAAAGACGACTAACAAATGGCTTTACATCAAATACTTCAAATTCATCCATGTGCTCTCCTGTTCCAATAAAGATGACAGGGCTCTTTGTTGCAGCAACACTGTAAGCATCATGTAGAACCGAATCAGCATCAATGCATAAGAGGGTTTTTTTATGTCTCATGCAACTGCCGCCAAGCAGTCAATTTTGCTCATCAAACAATATAATTTGTAGAGCGAACATTCTCTGACTTATCATTGGATTGAAATGGAAAATATTTTTCCATCACATATTCGTCAAAAGCAGTTGCGCAAGGGAAAATGCAGATTCGAAGATTAATATAATTTGTAGGGAGAAAGACTCACGCACTAAGAGCACCACCACCTCTTGCATGACCATCCATTTTAGTAATTATCACAGCTCCAACAGAAACACTTTGCTTAAATGCTTGGGCCTGATCAAATGCAGCTTGACCTATGCTGCTATCCATGACAAATATGACAAGGTCTGGTTTCTGATTGAAGACAAAAGGAAAGAAATAAGTCTGCCTCCTTTCAGGATACTTATTACAAGATCACCTCTGTATGTATTAAAACTGAGATTACCGTGGCTTCAGAAACTTGACGCATTTCTTCAAATAGGGCAGCTTCCTGTTTATGACGACCACTAGTATCAACTATTATAAGATCACAATTCTCCTTCTTGAACCTTTCAACACCTTCCTCAGCAATCTTTACAGGATCAGATTCCATGTAGCTGGATATATTAGCAAAATGTCGTATGAAATAAGCCTAGTGAATTAGAAGATACCATATATGATCTAGTACATTCAATAGAAGTAAAAGATGACAGGAAGAACCATACCTTCCATAGAATGGAATCTTAGCTTTGGTCGCATTCTGCTTCAGCTGATCAAAAGCACCAGCTCTAAATGTATCCGCACAAACTAAAGCGGGCTTCCAGCCCTTTTTCTGATGATAATATGCATATTTTGTACATGTAGTAGTTTTCCCGGAACCTGAAGAGGTAAAAGGTGAGATTTGATATGAGAAGCAATAATCTTAAAAGACAGAAAGTAATTTCATTTTGCCACTACATAGGCATAATTAACTAGATATGGCAAATGGAAACAATCCAAACCCCAAACAAAGAAGTGAAATTCAGAGAAGAACAACTTCCTAGTAATAAATACACATTTAATATAGTACAAGAAAACGAGATGCACATACCTTGTAAACCAACAAACATGACTACACTCGTTTTCCCTTTCTTTGGAGTGAAAGATGGCTTCCCAGGATCCAACATTTTGCAGAGCTCGTTGAATATCGCCTATGATCAGAAAGTAAAAGTCAACGAATTAAACCCATATTTTCATAAAAAAGATAACCGTCTTTGAAGGAAATGATACAGCATTACACATAGCAGTATCTGGTTAAATTTATATCAGCACTACAATCCAAAGAAGCCTAAGCTGCAGTATTCACAGAATTTAAACGACAATCCACCAAATAGATAACATTTCAGAATCCTACTATCTTCCCATATAAGTTTCAAATATCAGAAAGAGTATTCCAACTCTACTATACTTATAATACGCTGAAGGGGAAAACAGCTTCCCCATTTCAAATTTCCTGCAACGAGAGTGAAAGTAGGAAGGACATTTTGGTCTTCACAATTACTTTTTTTTATTCATTAAAAAGACACGTACTGTGATTTGAACCATGATCATTTTAAAGAAAAGCAAGGATCATAACCAATCTCACTAAGTATTTTTTGTATCTTTTTAAATTAAAAACATATAATAGCAGGGAGAAAAAAACTCTTCCCCCATTTCAAATTCCCTGCTCCAAGAGCGTTTGTAGGAAGTGTAGAATAGGGAGTGTCAATTTTTTTCTCTTTCCTCTGTGGAACGGGCCAACTTACCGTACACATGCGGATTTAAACGGGTCCAAGAGTGTCAATTTTTTTCTTTAAACCCTTTTATTTCTCCGTGGTGATAAAATATATATGAAAAGGCAAAAACAATACTCATTTTTATTGCTAAAAATAAAAAATTTAACAATAAACTAATTAATGGTATCCAATAGGCTAATCGCTAACCATAAAATAAAATAGTTGAATAGGTCTGACCTACACGGGATTTGACCATCAAATAAAACAAATGAACATCATTGGTTTGCCATTCTAAAACAAGCTATTTTCTCTAACATAATATATATTATACTATTATTTTATATTTTAGTTGCTAAAATATAATGTATTTTAAAGTTATTCAATTGTTCAACCTCGACCAACCCAATTAGTCCAATTTTTATCATTTCAAATATATATTATATAATTATTTGATATCATAATGATCAAATTATAGTGTATTTTATAGGGAATCGTTTGATATTTGTTAGTAAAAAACTAAACAGAAAGATCTATTTGGTTATTTTAAACATTAAAACGATCCTAAACATTTTCAGTTCCTTTTGAATTTCTATGGTTTTATTCCCGAATAAGTGATGTGCAAATGGCGAATTGCAGTCATCTCTTTTCTTTCACTATTTTTATTTTCAAATAGAAAATTTAAAATTAAAGAATAACTAGAATTTGGCATGGGTCGGTCAAACAGACTGAATTTCAAGTTTTGGCCCATTTTGATCAAGTCTAATTTATAATCACATGGTTCCCTGATACCATTTTCTAGGGATACGACAACGGCGGTTCCTATCCCAAATCGTGTTGTTCGTTCTTGATTCCCTTAGATTTTATCATGGCCTGACAAAAACCAGAAAGCACAACGACGACAAGATGAAAGTTTTATAAAGCAGGTTAATCGGCCAACGGGCCGAGTAAAAGCTACCAACGATTGTGAGATGCTCATTTCCCGAAAACCGACAGGATAGACGATTTTTTATTCGATTTTCTGGAATTCGGTTTCTATAAAACTTACTCCACCTCATCATATTACTAGAAACAATATTGTTTCACAAGGTAACAGGTACTTGATTTTGGTTCATAAGGCCGATTTTTGATTCGTTGCATCATTCATGTCTCTTTCCTACTAAAATTCACTATTTTTATCACGTGTTTTCCAAAAAAAAACTATACAACAATAAGTTATACACCCATTACATTAGCAAATTTCATACCTCACCTTCCTCCGGCCAACTGGCCGGGGCCCACACTAGTTCTTATAATACACTAGGCACATCATATTCTTCTATACAGCTATGAAAAGCCATAACAGTACAATGCACTTTTCTTTAGGTGTAAGATAACAATTGAACTTAATAATTTCTGCTATGCTACTGCTGCTAATACCTTAACGTACCTAGAAAACAAGACATAACTGTATTTGCATTCCGGAGCGCATCAAACATACATGTCTACAGGGGGGCAGGCATTTTGCTAAGTTAAGCATTGTAAGTCATCTCACGCATAACAATTAAAGAAGCCATGAAACCTAGTTACTAGGGGAGACTATGCGTGAGAGAATAACATTCTAGTTCTCCTACAAGTGCTTAGAAATTTTAAGGAGGCTTTGGATTGGAAGCACCATAGAGAAAAAAGACCGGTGGAGCTGATATCCAAGTGGTATCACCTAGTCGCTACTAGGATTGTCCTTGGCAGTTCAAGAACGTCACTTAATAGTTCAGAACTTTGGATACCACAGTTGTGAAGTATGTATCAATAGGACTTAACCCCCACGCACACACTTTCTGTTGACATAGTTAATTACTGATGTTCGACTCTAAAAAAGCCTAGTTGGCTTGCCCCCAGGAGTCACACTAGCAGCGGGATTATTGTAATGGTATAGACATTCTAGACATGTGAACCATCTTAAAGGAGAAGGGAAATCGTACCCAATATTCATCAAAACAAACAACAGGAAGGAGATAAAAAGCAGTGGACAGGAACGCGGGAGGAAAAAGTTATTCACCTGTTGGATGATCCTCCGCTTGTTGTGACCAGCAGCAAGATCGTCAAGATTGACTATCTTCTTAATATTGGTTTGCATATCCTTGACGAGCTTGAACTGCACATCCGCTTGCAGCAGAGCACGAGTGATCTCATTCAGACACTCGTTCAATGCCTTCTCATCAATGATGGTGGCATTGCTCATCTGCTGTATAGCTCGGGAGATGCTCCCTCCCAACTGTGCCAACACCATCTTTGCAGGCTTTCTTTTCCCCCAGTCAAAAAAACTTATCAATCAATTAAGAATGCCGGTTCTTGATTCGTCACAAAAGGATTCCCTCTTTCTCTTTCTGACAGCAGTTCGGTATCGATGTGTCTAAAAACAACTGCCAAAAACACAGTATCGGAAGGGGCTTTAACACAGGCTATCAGGAAAGAGGAAACGAACAATTGGAGCTGGAAAAGCAACGAAATTTACATTTAACAGGGAAGATGAGAATTGAAGCCTCGCCTATATACAAGATGAAAGGTTGTGGACCAGAAGCTTCTATTGGCGGATAGGCAACCGGGTGAATCGGTCTTTCCGCCGCAGGTTTGCCTGGAGTAAACGCAAGGGGGAGAGGGAGAAAGATGAGGAAGGCGGCCGGAAATTTGTCAGATGTCGCCGAAGATAGAGAAGAAGAGAGATATCCGGATGAGGGAGAATAAGAGCGATTTATTGGTTAAAGTTACGCGCGAAATCAGGTTGAATTAGGCCGATTCTAGCCGATATTGCGCTGGAAACCTAGGTTTCTTAGACAAGAACAGAGATAGAACGACGTTGAAAGAAAGGATGAGAAAGTTTGATCGGAAAACAGACAGCTGCTCAATCAAAATCTGTTTATGGGCTGTAAAAAAATTACTTGTAACTGGACTTTAGTTTGCTCATTTAGAGATAAGCTTATAGAACGGCCCAATATGAAATTTAACCCATACTAATATCCACCGGCTCTGGCCTCCGGCGGCTGACGAGGCAGAGAGGAAACGGCACCGACCCTTTGACTCGGCATACGAAATTCCTGTCGTAGATGGTGATTTTGTTGGATTTTTTCCCCGAAACTAGGGATGGCAATTTACCCACCCATGGGTAATTTTGCCCAAACCCAAGTAGACCCATCTATTATGGGTAGGGTTTGGGTGATGTGTGTATGGGTTTGGGGTTTGTATATGGGTTTGGGTTAGATATGGATATTATCTAAATGGGTATGGGTTGGATATGGATATCCATTTACTTGAGGGTGTTTTAACTACACATGCAAAAATTGGACTTATTTGTAAAACTTGAAAAGTTTAGGTACCAAAATGTAAGACAAAAAAAAATTTAGGTACCAAAACGTAATTTTCCATCGATATTTTGAGGACTTATATGCAAAAAAAATTAAATTTAGGTACTAAATATGCATATCTATTAAGTTTAGGTACCAAACTGTAATTTGTATTTGGGCATGGGTACAAACCCAAATCCATTTGTTATAAACCCAACCCAACCCAAAGTAAATGGGTATGGGTACAAACCCATCAAACTTTACCCATATCCATATATTTGGATTTCTTACCCAACCCAATTGGGTTGGATAGTAAAATACCCATGGGTATGGGCATAATTGCCATCCCTACCCGAAACACACTAGTTCTTAAATATATAAGTTACAAAAAAATTCCTAATTTACACATGTTTCTCTATCATCGCTGTTGTAAAAAACAATGAACATATTCATCGTTTTTTAGAACGACGGTGAATTTTTCACTGCGGTCGACAATGAACACTTCACAGTGCTAAACAAAAACGGTGAACACATCACCACGGTTAATAAAAATGGTGAATGCTTAACCGCACTACACAAAAATGGTGAATGCATTAGTTAATTTATCATCACCCTTGAGAAGAGCGGTGAACCTTTACTATGTTTTCCAGTCCAGATAGATGAAAAAATAGGTCACAACGACCTAGCATTCACCGCATTAGATTAACGCGGTGAACATGTTGACCGCCTTGGACGAATGCGGTGATTGCTAGTTGTTTCTCATATAAATAAACCACTTGCGTAGCTGTTGAAATAATCTCCCTCATTCCTGTAAAATTTATGCAAATATTCTCTTCTCATACTGCTTCCAACAACTACAGTTACAGAAACTCAATTTTTTCGGTATGATATAATTTTGTATTGTTTAGATTTTTTATATTTTAGTAGTTATATTGTATTTAATGAATTACTACTAGTGGCAAATATGTTATGTTAGAGATATTTAGATTAGTTATGGTATGATTCATAGTTAGTTATGAATTTAGATGAATTTGTTTAGTATACTCATGTTATTCTAATGCTAATTATGGTCCATGTTTCAATTAGTTACTTGCGGTTGTTTATGGTCTATTATTTTCGTAGCCCTAAAAATATGGTTTTGGATAATGTTTGTGTAGCCCCAAGTACTAATTATACTATACTAATTTTATTCGACTTAAACTAATAGTTACTTATTATAAATTGCAGACATGGGTAAATTTAAGAAGTTTCAACTTCTTATTCGGTGGAATGGTCAGGTGAAAAATTCTGACATTGGGATCGAATATGAAGACGATCCACTATGATGAAAATTGAGTCGAGATTCACGTGGCAAGAACGCCGTGACATTTGCGCAGACAAGATTTGCATGGGCGGACAGACAAGAGTTGGTAAAATTACTTAGCGCTATCCAAACATGGGTGCTAGCGGGTTATGTACGAAGAAGTTGTCATCAACGATGATTACGCGGTTACCATGATGTTACAGTTCCTAGCTGACAACTAGATGCGACTTGCATAGGTGTATATTGAGACCGAGGCGATCGGTGAAACTCATTCTCACCAGTATTCTTATGATGATGGTTTTGTAGGAAGGTACGGATGGGGTGGTAGTTCAAGCAACTACGGAGAAGGTAGTTTTGCAGAAAGGGTGTTATGGAAAGAATATTCGCAATGTGTTGAGTCTGCCCCATTCATTGAGCCCATCGGCGTTCAATGACCTGCTTGGGGATCAGAGTGGGCTGACATTGAGAACACCATTCGAGTTGGGTGTACTTCACATGAGCGAGAAGATGACGTTGATGATGCTGGTCACGATGATCCTCCTGGCCCGAGCTATCCATTCGTCTCCACCAACGAGGAAAGTGAGGAAGATTTGAGATCAGTGAGCGAGGATGAAGATACGGACGATGAGGTGGCATTTCGTGAGTCACCCACGTCATACTGCACAGAGGTTCCATCTCAATTTTTATATGGCCAGAACAATGCCCCCAACTTTCACCCTATGTCAGTGTATAATCCGACGGCCAATTAGCTGGAATGGTGTTCACTTCGAAGGACGATGTCCAAGACACTTCTAGAGAAGGAGTCATTGCGCAATTTTGAGTGGAAGGGAAATATTCTAACGGCAAACAACTACGTGTCATATGCAAGAATGCTGGAGAGGGTTGTATGTGGCAACTGCGAGCTGCAAATATGAAAAGAACGGGTGCTTGGGTAATTAAAAAAGTAGAGAACAACCACAACTGCTCCTCGTCAATACTTTCCCAGGATCACTACTAACTTAAAGCAAAGAAAGTGGCGAGAACCATTAAGCACTTGAGCGAGGTGAAAGATCGACATTCTTACACGATCAGGTACAAAAAGGCTTGGCGTGGAAAGCAGAAGGTCATGGCTGAGGTGTATGGTGATTGGGACGACTCATATGCTTTACTCCCTAGACTAATGGCGCAATGGAGGAGTCCAATCTTGGGATTGTTTTTGTGTCGTGATACAACAATGTACAAACTTCCAGATAAAGTTCGAGTACAGAATGAGTTGATGTTTCATTGTCTATTTTGGGCATTCAAGCCATACATTGACGGGTTTGCCTTCTGCATTTCAGTGATCCAGGTATATTATGGTCTAATTACTGTTCTACTAGTTCATTTTTTAACTATATACTATTTATACTAATGAGGGTTAATTCTACTAGTAAGTCCAAACTATTCAAATAGTGTCATTTGTGTCCTAAACTATTCAATATGACAAATCTGGCACAAAATATTTTTCTGTAAATGTTGACCGACGTTGCCCGTTAGTATTTAACAGGAAATATAGTAAACATTTATGTGGTTTGTGCTAGATTTGTCATATGGAATAGTTTAGGACACAAAAATCACGTAACGCATATAGTTGTGCCACATTTGTCATATTGAATAGTTTAGTACATAAATGACACTTTTAAGATAGTTTGGGCTTCCTAGTGGAATTAGCCTTAATAATTAGGAACTTTTTTGAACAGGTTGATGGAACTTTTCTTACTGGGAAGTATAAAGTAACTCTACTCATTGTCATAGGCGTTGATGGAAATATGTGGATTGCCACTCCACGATGTGCCAACAAATCAATGGCACCTTGCACAGCCACGTGTCTCCTGATCCGCAGGGTGTCTAAGACGATGCAACTCAACCATTTCATGTGGATATGGGTTCCATGTCACCTACACTAATTAATACTTTGCAGTCAGTACCAAATACAGTCTACTATATTTTAAAAAGTTAAAATATTGAGAAAGTCATGTTTACCTGGTTTCACCAAGGCTTATCAAACTCAGCACGATAAAACAGTAAAGAATGCTCATGTTGGTGGTCATTTGTATTTGCTCTGATAAAACTTGTAAGTAAAAGTATGCATATAGAAATTTTTTAAAGCCTGGAGGCTAAGTATGTAAGGATTTTTTAACCATCACTACAAGAAAAACCACGTGTAGCTATGAAAGTATGAATGGCTAAAAGCTAAATATTGTGTGGCTAAAATATATAGCCACAAAAAAATTGAATTTGTAGCTCGTGTAGCTAAAAGTGGCGCAAAGGTTAGCCACGTATTTTAAACAATTCATAGCTAATACTTAACACTTTAGCTATTAAAATGCGTACAACGTGGCTAGAGTGATAAATGAGTCTTGCCACGAATGAGGAATCCATGTAACAAAAAACCTAAAAGTGTTTAGCTACATATATAAAGTTCATAGAACTAAATATTTTGCATGCATAATCCATTCGAATCTAAAGGATTAAGGGGTCGTTTGGAGAACGAGATTTAGGGCGTGGATTCATTGAATCCGTATATTTTGTAGAAAGTTATGTTTTTTTGTTGCCTTTTGTATTGTGGATTTTAGCTTTAGAGATTTCAAATCTCTAAAATCTATGGATATCAAATCTCTCATAATCAGAGAGATTCTATATATTGATTCAATTAGATTTTTTTTTCTCCTACCTTTTCTCTTTCTTTTATTTATTTATCATATTAAAATATACTTACTAACAAAGTTTTTAATATTTCTCTAACTACTCTAATTTTTTTATTAAGGATAAACATGTTATTTATTATAAAAATTTTATTTTTATTTTCATTGAATGTTAACAATCACAGCTACCAAACAATAAACATTTTAAAATCTATTTTCAACAATCCGAAGAGTTAGAATCTTTCGATTTTTGACAATCTATAGATTTAAACTCAAATTCTCTAAACGACCCCTAAATGTTTTTCTACGATATTAATAATGTCTAGTGAGATAATTACCTTTCTATAAAATATTTTAGATAGTTATTCTGCCTATTTTCTTGCTATAAAGAAAATTGTGGCTGATTAATAATATAACAAATAAATAGTTATTTGTTACACAACCTTTCGTCCTCGAGTATTCTACAACTGCCACCAACTCGTGCTTCCAAATCGACATTTGGAGTAATTCTCCAAAGGATTAGCAACATGAATTTAACATGCGTAGCTAATCTCAATAGGTAGTTACAATCTAACTTTCTATATCTCAAAGTTGCCTCTTAAAAT